CTTCTGTTAGTCGTGACATGTGATCATGAATAGTGGGTGAGTAGATAATTATGTCATCCATATACACTAAGCATCTTTCGTTTTGTATTCCTAAAAGGATGTTGTCCATTACTCTTTGGAAAGTAGATGGAGCATTCATTAGTCCGAATGGCATGCGCACAAATTCGTAATGTCCATTTTCGACGGAAAAGGCCGTTTTCTGGATGTCTTGTGGCTCGATTTCGATCTGGTGAAATCCAGACGCTAAATCTAGTGTTGTGAAGTATTGGCATCTTCCTAGTTGGTCCAATAGTTCTGATATTTGTGGTAGAGGATAACGGTCTTGTACTGTGAGTTCGTTAAGTTTTCGATAATCAATAACAACTCGCCATTTTTGTTTTCCTGACGCATCTAATTTCTTCGGTACGACCCAGACTGGACTCGACCAGGGCGAGACGCTTTTCTGGATTATTCCTTCTTCTAACATTTTATTAATTTGCGTCTTTACCTCTTCCTTATGTATTTGAGGATATCTATAAGATTTAGTGAAGATAGGTTTAGCGTTGTTTGTTTCGATTTTGTGTTTGATTTCGTTTGTGAAGGTCAGTTTGTCGCCTTCGACATAAAATATATCTGCATATTCAGTACATATATCTAGAATTAGTTCTTGTTCTTCGCAATTTAGATGATCAATTCTTAGTTGTTCTCTAATTATTCGTGTTCTGTCTAGTACGGGTTCTTCAAAATCATTTCCGTTGTAGGATAGGATTGTCTCGGAATTTTTGAAGGGTGCGATTGAAATGTCTGAAAATTCGATTGTCTTCGGCATTGCATTAGCATTTAGGACGGAAGTTAAGAATTCTCCATTTTCGTCTACATGGACTAATGCATGAGGTAATCTTACTTTTTCTATTTCTTGAGCTGATAATATGGCATCTGTATTCGATAAGTTGCATTTTAATTTGCATATTTGTTCGGTCCGGCTGTCAATGGTAATTCTGTTTGTTCCTTTTATTCGTTTTCTCTCCGGTCTTTCAAGATTTTTGTCTTGATCTCGGTTTTTTATGATAGTGTATTTTTCATTTATAGGGTTTTGGTATTTTAAATTTGATTCCTGTTTAGAATCTGATTTAATTTTTATTTTAGGTTCGTTTTGTCTTGTTTCTGTAGGGTGTGTCGGTATTTTGTCTTGAGGTGTGTTTGTCTCGTGTCCTACTTTGTGAAGGGTGACAGTTTTAAAATTTGTATGCAACTGTCGGGATTTAAGATCTATTACGCATTCATAATGATCTAGAAAGTCTAGGCCTATTATGCCATCGAAATCAATGTCTAAATTGAAAATAAAGACTTTGTGAGGATTATTGTCAGTGAAGGGAATCAGGACAGATTCTGTTATTAACAATTTTTGATCGGTTATACCTTGAATAGTAACGTTTTCAGGAAATCTATTATGATAATTGCGTGCTGTGTTTTCTTTGAAAACAGTGATTCCAGCACCTGTGTCGATTAAAAGTTTAAAAGTGTTGGTAGCATCGTTAATATAATATAAATTTTTGGAACTCATTGTATGAAATGGGGTTACATGAATGTCTGTTCGGGAAAATTGAGGTCCGGATGAAAGTCGTCCAAGTTGAGTGCTTGAATTTGTTCTTGGATATTCGTAATATCCGTTGAGTGGTTCGTATGATTGGGAGGATGATTTTGATTCGGAAGTGAAAGAAAATTTTGATAATCTTGTGTGTTATTGGTTTCGTAAAAGTTATCAGTTTGTGGATTATTTTCTGTATAATAATCTGTGTCATAGTTTTCATAGTTATCGGTATTATAATAATTATCTGTGTAGTAATCATCTGTATAATAGTTAGTCGTTATTTCGTCAGGGTATTCGTTTAAGACATGTGCCCGTTGGAAGTTTGGGTTTCTTTGAATAACAGATGGACGATTTTGATTTTGATTTTGAGATGAAAAGGAAGGTCTCTGTTGGTTGAAATTTGGATTGTTGGAAGAATATTGATTCCTATTAGGGTTCTGATTGTTTTGATAGTTATTAGGTCCATTATTATATTGGTTTTGGTAACCGTGTGGCCTAGAAAAAGTTTGGTTTGGCTTTACGAAACGTGAAGAGCGGCATTCAGTATTTAGATGACCAATGCGGCCACAATTTGTACATTTTGTAAACTGAGATGAGGGTCTTCTCATTGGTTGAGAGGGTTTAGGAATAGTTGATCTAGAATTAGATTTTTGTTCTTCAAAATATGACAATTGAAGTTCGCGTCTAATACGATTGCTTGCTTCAATGAGATCTTTTGGATTACTAGCCCTAATAATTTGTCCTAGACGGGGTTCTAAACCGGTTAAAAGTGTGTTTAGGGCCATGGTATCGATTAAGTCACATTGGGCGGTTTTTTGATCTGGGGATAAATTTGCTATTTGGATCGAGGCGTGCATTTTTGCATTCAGAACTTGTAAGCGGTTAAAGAAAGTTAGAGGAGATTCGTTAGATAGTTGTCTTAGTCTTTGTAAGTCTTGTATTAAGGAGGTCAGGTCTCTACTGTCTCCGAAATGTAGATTTAATAATTGTTTTATTTCTGTATAGGAAAGTGGTTTTCTAGAATTAATAAGCTGTGCAGCTTTACCTTTGAGTTTATTTTTTACGTGAATCGTTAATAGAACGCGCTGATCGCCTGTGGCCATTTTAAAGGCACAGTCGCACGCATCTAAAAATGTAGAAAGAGAAATCGGATCGCCTTCAAATTCTGGGATAATGGAAAATATTTCCGAAAGCTTGTATGGTTCGATTTCTTGTTGAGTTTGGGAACGTGTCTCGGGCATTTTTCGAGATATTTTGAAACGAAAATGAAAAATAGAAGTATGAAGAAGTATAAAATATATCAGTATATAAGGGAGAAAAAAAATGTGGTGGTATATATAAAGGACAAAAATGTATCAATTTAAAATATCAAATAATATATCAATAAAAATGTATCAAATATATCAAGTAAAAATGTATCAAATATGTCAAATAAAAATATATCAAGAGAAAATATACCAAAAATATAGCAAGTAAAAAAAAATATGTGAATAAAATATCAGTAATTATAAAATAGTATAAAAGAAATATGTCAATATCAATAATTTCAAATATTAGATAATCAACTTGTATTATTTTTTTGTATCTTGATTAATTGACTTGCAGTATAGTCAATTTCGTAAATTATTAAAACAAAATTATTAACGAGATGATTCAAAATCCACTTACATAAAGAAGAACATCGGGACGCCTTGTTCTCTCTGCTCAGCTACCAGGGGCTTCACTAGGTGTTCCTTCCGTAGATTACAGGAGTGAGGTTGTTCGGAGATGTCTTCTTCTTTAAGGGTCGTCTTGTTCTCTCTGCTCGGCTACCAGGGGCTTCACTAGGTGTTCCTTCCGTAGATCACAGGAGTGAGGACTTCCGTAGATTCTTTGTTCCGTTAAGGGATGAGAATCCGCCGCTGCCAGTGAGTATACACGTGTTCTAGCAACGTTTTTCGGATCCTACTGACTTTGCGCCAATTGTTAGATCACTAATCACGAGTTTAACTTTTTAAAAAAGAACTTTATTTGTTACAAATTAAATATTAAATAATAGTACAAAATTAAATGAATTTAAAATGACTAATAACTGGACTGGTCGAAGTTGCAGCTAAGAGTGGTCCCGGTATCTGAGAATGGCAATTTATAGGTTTGGTATGAAGTGCTGAATCGCTGTTCCCATGAATATTGGTCAACGGTTCATACAAAGTTCTACTGCGTGCTCAGCTGTTTCTATGGGAATGAAATGATGAAATCTGAAGTCGGCGAACTTAAGCTAGTTCAAGGTTAATATTTTCTCATATAACATATATATATAATAATATATTATATATATTATATATATAATATATATATATATTATATATTACAAACGAATAAACGATTTATATTATAAACGGCAAAAATGTTTTGTTTTTTGTCATGTATCAGTTCTTCTGCTTTTACTATTAATATTTTCTGGCCACTGTATCCTCGTATCTTGGTAAATCCTACCCAACAGTTCCTGATAAACCAGTTCATACAAATCTCCCATGTTTTCTCGTTCCATGATTACTACAGTTATCCAGTTCTTTGGTTCACATTAACCCTATTTAGTTTCCATTAGAAAACTTTCGTTTTATAACATTTTAATTAATGATATAATTTTAATTAAGCTTAAATGATATATATGTTACGGTAAGACTGGATAATTGGTATTATATACAATTACCAGAGTTTACGATAAATGTAGGAAATTATTTTCAATTATCTACTTTTACTGAACCAGCGGTAAAAGTATAAAATAATGAAATAAAAACTAAAGGGTAATTGATTTCGCTCTACAAGCGAAAAATTTCATAGTTGATGTTTTAAGCAGTTTAAGGATGGGAAACGTCCGAGGGAAATAGTTTTTTGTCTTTGATACAGACTTTGGTTATCTACTGAATGAGCTGCATGTCCCTAGATCACAACGCAAGGTTATCTAGGTATCCTAGTTGTCACTTTTACAGGAAGTTTAATCAAGTTATTTATAGCTTAATGCAAATTGCCCTAAATATAGTATAAAAATTTAGGGTTTAAGCTAGCGTTAAAGTCAACATAGACAAGATAATTTTGATACCATGATACCACATACAATAGAATATCATACACATCATCACAAATTATGCATAAAACGTATATAATACACAATAGATAAACATATAATACATAAACACATAATTCATAAGATGCATATAATTGACAAACACAAAAAACAATTATAATTTGATTTCATATACTTACAAGATCGAGGTTAATTAATCAAACTCACAATTTGGTAAACAATAATCGTCAAAAATCTTGGTTATACTAATAGCACACTATTGTAAAATAATCTTTTTTAAAAATTATTTCCTGAGTGTTGTATCATTGAAAATGATAATGACACTAAAATTAACCTAAAAGACTTAAATAAATATTAACTTACTGAATTTAGTATTGTCTTGTGTATTATTTTATTCTCTTTTTCATAACTTTTCATCTTTTGTTCATAACTTAGCCAATCATTTTTTCTCCAATAAGCCCAAGGATTGTAACAGTCGACCCATCCCTAAAAACAGTTTTCAGGTTCAATTAAAAATTAACATTTTAGTGCTCAAGAGATTTTTTTTCGTGTATTATAACAATCTAAAGTAAAATTCATGATGACGTTATATATTAGGCTTAAAGAGAGACAGGATAAATTTTGCTGACGGGACTAATTGTTTCTGCCAATAGTTAGGCCAATGTATATTTACTCGGGTTTGTTTATTAGAATTTAAATGAGATAAATGTCACACGAATTGATTTGGGAATATCATAGTACTTATGGGAGATGTTTAATAACATACAAATTATAGAGCTATAAGACTACTTAGTCAGACTTGAAAATATAGGAAAGTAAAATTAATAAAGGAATACCTAAAGAAATACATTTCCAAAAATCAGTTTGGCTTCATGCAAAGCAGATCGGCCAAATATACAATTTTCGTTATAAGGCAGAAAAGTAGAGAAGTGATTAACATAAATAATATAATTAATTATTAATAAAAAAAAAACAAAAAGAGAAATCAAACGATTTCTATCTGGCGAAATCGAATTTAATATCGAGTAATCGAGTATAATAAATCGAATGTAATAATTAATAATATAAATATATAATTAACCCTAGTACCACAGCATGGGGTCGCCCGTGACCCTGCAGTTTATTAATTTTTCTTAGTGTACACCTAAATTGGAACATCGAGCAAAAAGACAAAAGAGGGAATGTAAAGGTAGTGGGGGCAAAAATATTGTTAGACAGGAAATGCCATCTTAAGAGGCCACATTAAACAAGGGAAGAGAGTCTCTTTCCTTGTTTAAGACGTCAAATTTAGTTGGTTATGTTATTGTTTGTCCCAACTGTCATATAAAATCTTATTTATATTGAAGTTTTTTATGAATTGTGTCGCATTTTAGACTATTATCGTTAATATTTAATTAAAACTTTCTAATTTCCTATTCGAAAAGCCAACGAGTCAACACCTCGGCTTATTCTAATAGTATTTGTAATAAAAAAACTTGTCAGTTAATGTGATTTGTTATCAAGTAATTAATAAAAGTGAATAGTTTTTTGTGAAACAACTTGGTATGTACTTTTGTAGAGAACATTATATTTGATACAAACACACTAATAGGCCAGGCATTGCGCCTAATTTTCATTAAATATTTTGGCATCCAGAATATTTAAAAATGCTTCTTCAATCCACCGCTCCAAGCTACGCAGCTGTTACCACATCAAATACAACAAAACCTACACCGGCTACATCATATCCTAGCCGAAAGCAAGCGATAGTTTTAAATGCTCTTCCGGATACAGCTCTCTTCGATTACATTAAGGCGATCGGTGAAATCGTAACACCAAAACGTATTACCCACGCTTCCCGCATATCCAACCAACGCATTTGCATCTTTCTTGCTTCTATTTCTGACGTCGATATTCTTCTCAAAAACAATCCGTCCGTTTCCGTTAAAAATGAAATCGTCCACATCCGTAGACTCATTTCCCCAACTAAAAGATTGTTAATATCTAATGTATGTCCATCGATTCCAAATCAACTCATCGAGCAGGCATTAAAAAACGAACTTGGTCTTCAACTAGCCTCACCTGTATCTCAGATTCGTACTGGCTCACCCGAAGAAGATTATTCTCACATATTAAGTTTTCGACGGTCTGTCTACGTAATACCAGATAAAGAAAATTTCGAAATACAAACCTCCGTATTAATACATTTTGAAAACACTTCCTTCCGAATCTTCGTTACATCAGACAAACTAGAATGTTTTCTTTGCCAAAAAGCCGGACATACGGCTGAAACCTGCCAAAACCCACCGGATACCACTACCGACCCCCGTTTCGCCCACGTAACTAATGAATCCACCAACAATAGCCCCACCGCACCTTCTGGCACCTCTCTCACTTCTGGCCCAAATTCTCCATCTGACAATTTATCTAACATCACACCCCTACCTTTAAATCAACCTCAACCTACACCTCCTACTATCGCCCTGCTCAAAAGAGCCCATTCAACTGACTCAAGCCTCGATTCTCCCCCTGTAATTTCCAGTTCAGATCCCACTACTCACAGTCCAATCGATCCACATTCCATCCATGACAACTCCTTTCGTACCCCCAAATCAGCACCTAAAAAAAAAATAGAAAACCAAAGATACAGAACCATCAGCCACCATCAGCCCGTCTGCCCGCTCAATCATAGAAAATCTTATAGGAGCAAACCCATCATCCTTTTCAATTAACTCGCTACAACTAATTGCTTTCTTGGAAAATTCTTTCGGCTGCCATGACCCCTTAGCTGAAGCATACCAATTTACAACGAATATTAACGCCCTTCTTGATGACCTCAAACAAATCTACCATAATATCTCAGATAGATCACTTAAAAATCGTATAACTCGCATACAAAAAAAAATTAAAGCTACGATGAATCTAAATGATGTTATTGATACTGTTAGTCTTGCATCTGTTAGCTCTAACGACAGTGACCCCTCCTTAGAGAAAACCGACCTGCCTTAATTTATCTTTCATATTCACTATATTTCAATAGAATTGCGACGGATATTATCCGCGCTTAGAACGTCTGCAGCTACTGATATCTCTCCACCACCCCACCTACGTTTGCTTACAGGAAACTAATTTCACGTCAACTAATCTCCATACACTCAAAGATTTTGAAGGGTATCATTACATCAGATCTGTCTGCTCCAGAGCTAGTGGAGGTGCATCTATATTTGCTTCTAAAGACCATTACTCCACTCTGCTTCCTCTAACTACCAATCTCGAAGCTGTCGCCATCACTACTTACTGCCCTAACAAACTTACCATATGTTCTATATACATCCCTCCTGACTACATTCTAAAGGAAGAAGAACTCCTTGATTTGGTATACCAACTTCCCCAACCCTATATAATTGTAGGAGACTTCAACGCCCACAACACTATGTGGGGATCCTCGCGTACATTTGGACGTGGTAAAGTTGTTGAAAATATTCTTGATTGCACTAGCTCATGTGTCCTAAATACGGGATCATACACCCACTTTAACATTGCTTCAGGTACTTTTTCTGCCATCGATCTAAGCATATGTGATCCCAAATCGGCCCCCAACTTATCCTGGCAAACAGCAGACGACCTTCACGACAGCAACCACTTCCCTATAATTATACGTGACAACACCTATGACCAAGTTTCAGTGAGAAGTTATTGGCGCTTCAACAAGGCTAATTGGCCAGAATTCTCCAAAAAATCTGAATCCCTTATATGCGAATTACCTTACTCTAATAATATTGATGATTCCATAAAACTATTCTCAGATGCCATAATTAAAGCAGCATTAACTCATATTGGCAAAACCACAATTAGTTCCCGACATAAAGTTGTACCTTGGTGGAACTCTCAATGTGAACTCGCAATTCGACAATCAAAGACTGCTCTCAATCAATACCGCAAACATAAAAGTCCTGAAAATCTAATTAAGTATAAAAAGCTGAAAGCCAAAGCTAAATACGTTGTCAAACAGAGCAAGAAAACATCCTGGCATAACTATGTATCGTCTTTGAATGATAACACGAACCCCTCCCAAATGTGGAAAAAAATTCGACAAGTTCAGGGACAAAAAACTAACACAAAAATTAACCATTTAATCTCTAACAGCATTTCTTCTAGCAACAGCCAAATTATTTGCAATACCCTAGCTAATACATTTGAGGAACAATTTCACAACAAACTCAAACCCGTTATTTCATCCTCTACACAAGAACCGCTCTCCTACAACCTCACTTCACAGCACTTACAAGATATCGATAATATTAATTCCCCTTTCTCACTTTCTGAACTTACATCTGCTTTGTCTTCATGCAAAAATACTTCCGCCGGCCCTGATGATATCCCTTATATTTTTCTTAAAAACCTACCTCACTTTCCTGTTAGACATGTATAATTCTATCTGGTCTTCTCAAATATTTCCTACTCAATGGAACACATCCGTAATTATACCTGTCCTAAAACATGGCCAAACACCAAGTTTTCCTCAGTCCTATAGACCGATTTCTCTCACTTGCACCATGTGCAAATTAATGGAGAAGATGATAAACAGGCGTCTTTTATGGTTTATTGAAAAACACCAAATTTTACCTAAAGAACAATCTGGTTTTCGCCGACATCGTTCTACAAGCGATAACCTCGTCCTGCTTCATACCCACATCGCCGAAGCTATTAACAACAGTCAAGAAGTGATTGCCTGCATTTTTGATATTGAAGCTGCTTTCGATAAAATACCTAGACAGATTATTCTCGATAAACTATTATTATACGGCCTCACCGAAAATTTTTTTTAAATTCATCAAGCACTTTCTTAGCTCTAGATCTTTTAGAGTCTCTGTAAATGGTTGCCTATCATCACCCCACATCCAACAAGACGGAGTCCCTCAGGGCTCTGTATTAAGCACCACATTGTTTATTTTATCGATTAACCATATTTGCCACAGTCTTCCCTCCCCAGTCAAATTTACTACATATGCTGATGACTGTAGCGTTTACGCTACTGACTAGTCTAATTTAAACCCCTCAAGAAATTTTTATTACCCGCCTACGATCGATTTTAAATCGACATTTTTCCCCACGCGCTGTTATCGCTTTGAAAGGAAGATCGATTTTGTGCGGAAGCGAAGCGTTCAGTTTTGGTCAGAACTCGATAACGCAGACACGCCAACCGGTGAAATTTTTTCACCTTCAAAGTGACGGAATTGGAGCAAGGAAGATAATTTGGGGAAGAATAAAATAGAAATATATATATAATAATAATTTTTTTAAATAAAATCAATAATCTAAAGAGTTCCACATAAAAGGAAGATTTTTTTGGCGTGCTGCAGCTCCATGTAAGTAAATCATTTCATACGTATTATCTCTTTATCATACAATCAAATTTATCATTGTATTTAGTATTTCTTTAGAGATTTATTTTTGAGTTCCGAAATAATTTAAATATAAAATTTCCTTGATTTACTTGCAAAGAA